AATTTACAAGAGATTTGATACTACTACCATGAACTTCGCCAACCGCAAACTATAACTTCATCAATTTATATCGAAGCTTGGAGAACAAACAGTATATTCATTATAAATATGTATGTATATTAAGCTTTAAAATATGTGTTACAGCCACTTTTCAAACTGAAGCTAATATATGTACATCTTTCAACAATACATATTGATGACCTTGAACTACACCTTCTAAAGACAAGATAATTTGTAGTATTGATATCTGTTATGGAACTGTAAACAGCATCAATTCGACAGCTTCAACCATAAATGAACTCTGCATAATATTAAACTGGCAACGACCATAGCAACGGCGACAGAAGAAGAAGATAGAATCGCTAAAATAATAACAAAACTAATCACTAATAGTAAGTCACAAGCATTTAATATATTCAAATATTGCTATTTAGCCGAAATGGCAAGTCATTCATTTCCTTCCGTACTTAAATCGTTTTGTTTAGCTTCTGGCACGGTGCTTATACATATATCTTCAAATATATTGTATATATGCATAATCCATACAAATTGTATATTTTGGCTTATGCCAAATTTAAGACAAGAAAGCCAAAACAGGCAAAAAAATTCGAGTGACTTACAAAAATATTTATAGAAACTTTGAAGTTATTGTAGGAATTGGTAACTATAGCATAGTTGCTCATATATATTCACTGCGAATTGTTATTATGACATAATAATTAAAAATATTAATACCTAGGTAGTTGACCCATTGAAACAACTTTCAAGAATGTTAAAAGTTCGCCTTTTATGTGACAAGAATCCATATTTTGCTCTTTCAGTTTCATTGTAAAACACTTTGAATGGTGATATGGTGAAATGGTATCAAAAACTATATACAACTTTTATCTAAATTTTTATTATTACCATCTGATCAAATCTGGCATGGACTGGTCCTTATAAACTGCGCTCGCAAGCCGAATCAATAAAAAAAACTCCGCCGGTTAGTACCATCTTTTTTGATGTTCATGTGAAGTTTAGTTTCCATATGACAATTAACGACTGTTTGGCAGCTGTTTGTTTACAACGCGCAAAGTTTGTCTGATGAAAAAAGAGCTTAGAAATGAAAAAAGAATAAATAAAGCTAAAGAAAAAAGCTTGAAAAGCGTCATGATGGCTTTAGAAAACTACTAGCAGAGTTGTTAACAACGCAGCTGAGGAGCCTACATTCATCAAATGGATCATTACTGATGACTAGACGTGGTTTTTGAATATGATATGGAAACTATTCAACAATCTAGCAAATGGCCCTCCAAAAGTAAGTCGAAACCGAAAGAATCGAAATTCACTAAAGGCGCTGAAGGCCGAGGCTTATGCATAACAAGTGTATGGAAAATTAGATTGCTTGAAACTGTTATGCTTGGTTTGGGTTAAAAAGGAGCCTGTTTTGGAGGCGATAATTAAGACTTGTATTAAAAACGTGAAAATGTAGTTTATTTTATTTTTGTCAGTCAGATTTTCACGACCAAATTAAATTTTTTGAAAATAATAGCTTTAGGAATCGCTTTAGAAACAGGATCGCTGGTAGAAAAGATACTGAATTATTAGGTTAGCTACAACTTGAAACGATGTGATTTATCTACTCGACTATTTTGACTAGTAACCTAATTTAGTGGAAAATATTTTTCACCTCAACTATACGAATAATAAAATAAAAAATTACTGACAAAATGGTTTATATATACTTGTAATATTGGCATAAGCCATTGCGAATATATCCGTTCGAGGGACACTCAAATATGCAACCATAAATATGCTAAGTTTACTCAATTTACATTAAATAATGCCAACATAAATATGTTTATATTGATGCAGATCAATAAATAATATAATATATTTATATAGCAAAACCGACGACAAAACATGTCAAACAAATTGAGCTGTGATTCTACAAACAGACTTACCCATAATTGTCTGAACGAGTAGTAGAACCTTTGAAATACACCCGAATCCACACACACGCATAAAGAATTCATTATAAAAATGTATGTATATGTATTTATAAGTGTTTTTGTATTTGTATTAAAAAAAATATTTCGCAATTCATATTGTGGAATGCTATTAGATCCAACAGTCCTTGGACATATATGAATCTAGGTTGCTTTAGCTTCGGCTATAGAACTAACATTTGTAGTGGGTAAATACATATAGAGATATATGGTACGTATATATGTGGATTTCTAATTAATAAAATATATTTTATAATATCTGAGAAATCAGAGATTCAGAGAAAGTTTATTTTCTTTGTGCTTTCAATGGAAAGCATTCCATAATAAAACAGAGTCGATAATTTTTTAAACCAAAACAACGACGAAACTCATTAGAGAAGGCAGAAAATGTAACAAAAATGTGTGGAAAAATAATTTACGGGTGAGATGAGGTTCGGAAGAGGAAGGAAGGGGATGGTAAAAATTTGGTTTATTATCTCGATTTCAGAAGAAAACTACAAGGAAAAAATTTTAAATGGCAAAGTTGTAGATAATATGTGAGAAATTAATATAAATAAAGTTTTTATTTTTTTTTATCTGTTAGAAATTTTTAACGAAATTCGGTGTAAACTTAACTTCTTATGTTCCAAATACACTGTTTTGTAAATTTTTTTATTCTAATTATTTTGACCTAATATCGGAAGAAAAGCCCCAAAAATTCAACCGAATTTTCCACGTCAAAATATCTTATTTTTTTTATAAGTTCGATGTGCCTTCTCTTCGCTTAAATCTCCACCGCTAAAACACCATCCCAAGGTATAACATAATATACGTTACTCTGGTAAGTTTCTCAGAAAATCAAAAAAAAAAACACCGATTTAAAGCTACTTTTTATACCCTAAACGCGAAGTTTTTGACACTAGAAGGAAATGTCGGAGACCTTATAAAATATATTTATATATAAATAATATGCATGACGAGCTAAATCGATTCCTGTCCGTCGGTCCATACAAACTGATCGATTTAAATCCACTGCTGGTATGGAATCTTTAAAAGTTAAAGTTTTTACTTGTTTTTATTTCATCGACTTGTTATTTCGGAGTAGTTGCTGTAAAAATCGTTATCCAGTATTCTATATACAGAGTACAAGTATAATTAAATTTTAAAAATATGACCGCATGAAAGAGTTAACCCACCCTCGTATATCACAAATTAACGTACACAAATTTATTCACTCTCACATCCGTAAAAACCTACAAACAATTTTTTTTGTGGCATAACAGAATTATTATGAATATGAATTAACTTCTTGGTTGCAAACTAATCTACAATATTTATGTTCATTATTAATACATTAGTGAACACCTTTTTTTATAAATGTTTAGATGCTTAATCAAAGAAAAAAGATAAAAACTTTAACTTAAAAATTATTCAATGAAGCAGGTCAAAGTCGACTAAAGTTCGCGATAAATTGGTCTGTTGCTCTGCATCTGCTAAACAAAGCGGACAAAAAATTGTATAACGGCTTAAAGCCATCAAATCTAGATAGTGTGTAAAGTTGTTTTTATGCTAGTTATACATCGATTGAGCGCTTGCGTAGATATCTACATTAGTGTGCAAGCCAAATGATTCATTTACTTCGAAAAGCATTTTTTTTGCATTTTTCATGCATTTCTGTGCAGATGCGCGCAAACTAATTATTGTAATTAAGTTTTTGCTGCCACCAAAACTCTAGCGTTGGCAGCTGCCATCGATATTTAAATGTTCTATATTTTGAACTAAATTTATTTTGTTTTCTATTGAAACAACTAGAACTAGAATTTTTAATAGTTGTATAAATTTGTCAACTTTTATTTTAGTTTATTGTAATGTCTTTGCTCTAATATTTTATTTGTATCTGATGCATGCGTAAATATTATGAATTGATGTTGAAATTGAATAATGAACAAAAAATAAAATACTAACGAGCAGGGTTGCAAATAATGCAGTAAAAAACGAATTGAATTAATATTTGAATTTATTTTTATTTTTTTAGTAATGTCAAAAATCTTAATGAGAAAAATTTTAATTTTTAATCGGAAATACCAGATTGAAAAAGTTTTAAAGCCAACTTTCGGTATGAAACAAGGAAATTTAATCCCAAATACTTTTTTTTTTAACCTCAAACTTATAATTAAAAATTAAAAAAAAAATTTTAATTAAAATAATAAATTTTTACGTGTTTGCGTACTTGGTGTTCTAATATTTTGGTTATCTTTTGAAAATAAAAGTTTATTTTTGATAAAATATCAACATAGTCTAGTTTTTTTCTATATAAATGCTTTTAATTATAGTGCTTCAGTTGGATATATGTAAAATTTCCTTTTTTTATCCCTTTTTCATTCCAGTCTTTCCTTTGAAAAATAAACAGTTTTTTTGTTACTTAAATTTTTTAATTTTAAAGTACTTTCTCAATATTATATTGAAGACGTTTGAACTTAATAATTCAATTTTTATTATTAAATGAAAAAATAAAATTTTCAATCCCAAAATCAGATTTAAAAATTGAAAAATCAAATTTTTAGACTAAATTGTTTAGATAAAAAATTCGCAACCCTACTAACAAGAAAATAAAAGCGCAGTACAATTAATAAAACTTTAACAATAAAAATATTAACAATATTAAATCAATTAAACAGAAAAATTGAAATAAGAAAACATATCATGAGAACCTATCCCTTATTTTTGATGTGCTGCGCGTAGTCGGAATAAGCCAACGCTTTGAAATGAAATACCAGTATTTGTAAATTTAATAATAAAACAGAACTTTACCGCTTTAGACTTTAATTTTACAGTTGATAGTCAATATATATTTTAAGTAGTATCAATAATTTATATTATCAAGCAGCAAAAACAAAATTGTAAATATATGTAATAATTGTTTAAGAAGATTTGTAATAGCGTTTGTAAAAACTCTAATGGTATATGTAATTTGTAGAATGGATAAAAAAAATTTCTTATCAAAAGTGCTCGCTTCGGCTATAAATGAACGAACGAACGTCCAAAGTACATTTAATATGCTTCCAAGTCTACGTGTGTATGATGCAATGCATGTGTTGATATATGAGATGTATTAAAAATAACAATGCCTCAATTTTGTTTTCGATAACTTTATGCCGTTAACAGTCGGCTTCTTTTTACTAAGTGGACTCTACAATTTTGTCCCAATAGATATGAAAATGTGTGTGTTTATATTTATTTTTCTATTTTTATATCGCCATATTTTAGTTTTTAATTATAATATAAATCATAAATGATACTAATAATTAAATTTTAACTTTCGACTTCTGCCTTTTGTTCATAAACTTTAATTTTGTTTTCAAATATTCGCAGCCAAAACAAATAACGGATAAATAAACCAACAGTTTTAGCATAAATAATTAGGTTCTCGCTTAGAATGTGATTGGTTCGTGAGGTACAGTGCATTCGCCGACCGTTACGCGATACATTGCCATCTCGGATATGCCGTGATAGTGCACAAACGCGGCCGCAATGACAAGTATATGAAACAATTGATGCGATTGGAACTGTAAAGTAAATATTACATCAATTACATAACAGAAATATATAACTAAAATACATGCGATTTACCCATATATCAAATTTCCCCGGAAACCATCTCTCTGGCACACGTAAGGCATATAACATTGCTCCAAGTATATAAAGGAGGCCTTAAGATCGCAAAAAAAAAAACGTAAAAACTTAATATTTATATCGAATTGTAAATTTTGAAAGCAGTTTACTTACCCATCAGTATTAGCCAACCCAAACTAGCTTGACTGATTTTACTAAACCAACCCTCCATCAGACTGTAATGAATAGCTGGTATGATGCCAGAGAGGCCGAAACTCATGAAGACTCCGGCACGTAGTGGTCGCAAACCAGGTTCAGAGAATTTATCCCACAGTGAGACGATAATCGATAGCGACCCCAAAACGCATACCACAGATAAATAGATAACTTTGGGTTGGTAATGACAATAGAATCCGTAATACAACCAGGGCACAAACGAACCCATAATCAGTAGTGCAATTCCACAGTAATCTAATCTGTAATAAAATGCAAAAAAAGATGATTTCGAAAAGTTATTATATTTCTTAAAAGCCTTTCTACTCACTTTGAAAACAGTCTTCCAATCTCTACCGAGTGACAGCTAAGCGTGTGAAAAGCGAACGAGAAACCCAGGCAAATAATGGCACCGGCAAAGAAAGCGCCAAATATGATTTTCTCTTGTATTTGTATTTCGACTGATGGACGAGATAAAAAGTACAGTGCAACACCAATGAATGCCACGCAGCCTAGCAAATGTGTCCAGATGTTTCCGGTTTCGGTGTGTACACGAAATATCGACTTGAAACAGGCACTGAACGAAGGCAGTGGTGGGCGATGACCGCGATGTAGAAAGTCATTGTCCTGCAGCCATTTAGGTAAATTTTTATAATGACATACCATCCAACTAGCCTCCCAAACCTTCAAAAAAAACGTAAATATGTATACATAATAGTATGTTAATTAGATAAATTTTGGTATAAATAACCATTCAAAATGTGTGCTCACCTTGCGCACAAATTCTTCTGCTTGTTCAGCAGCGTTATGGGCTAAAGCACCCAAATCGATCTCATCCGACAAGACGCCCGCTTTCAAAACCTCAGTCATCTGAAATAGTTGTATAAGTTGAAAGTTTGGTTTTAGAATTAACATTTCTTCGATTTAATTTCAAATTTTTAATTAGATTTTTTTCGGAATTAAAAATTTAAAATTTCATATCTTGGATTAAAAATTAAATTTTCGATTTTTAATTCCGCTTAGATTTTCAATGTTTAATCCAAAATTTTTGAATTGAAAAATTCGCAACCCTGAAAAAAATCTCATTAGAAATTTAACATTTTATTTATAAATTTAATACAATTGAACATTTAATTTTTAATCCAAGATGTGAAATTTTCAATTTTTAATCCAAAATTTTTAAATAAAAAAATTCGCAATCCTGAGTATACATACTGTATACATACATAGAACCAAATACAATTTGGTCATTAAGTCTTCAATTTTAAGGAATAAATTGATATCTTATGATTGTCATTTTGGTAAAATGATCATGAGCAATAGAACACATTGATACTTCCATTTTTATCAATGCATGGTGTTGTATGATAAAATAACAGTTACACCAGGAAGTATACACCACAAACAAAAATATTTAGTATGTTACTGATAAGAAAAAAATTCAATTGGCGAAAGATTGCTGTAAAAATACAACTTTGTTGGCAAAACATGCATTAAATTGGTGATTCCTAAGCGGAAATTATTTTGTGCTATCATTTACGGTTATCACAAAGTTTCACAATGTTTCAAATGTGTTTTAATTATTATTTTTATCATTAATTGACTTATAAAATCGTAGAAAATGCTATGCTCTCATATACCGTCATCGAAACATTGCTCCGAAGTTCAAGAATCAGCGATAAGATTTTTTTGCAATCAATTATCAGAATGAAATAATAAATGTATATGCACACATGCTAATTTTAAGTAAACAAAATACATATATTAAGTAAACAATACACACATATGTATGCATGTAAGCAACAAAAACTACTCACCTCAGCTTCAATCAATTGTGTATCCTCGGGTGTAGAGGGTAAGGGACAGCCAGCATCATCTTCCTCTACCAACTCATCGTCATACTCAAGTAAATCCAAGTCGTTAGCGCTTAGTGAATCTTCTGGTCCCCAACCTCTGCGCTTACGCAATATCATTTTTACCTCCTGGAAAATTAAATCTTCATCGTCGTCATCCCCATCGCTACGTAGAATTGATTCAACACACGAGTGCACAGGCGACTCCAAGTCGGAGATAGTTTCTGTTGCAGTTCCCATCAGAATGTTAGCATGAGCAATGGATTCTTCTTTTGAGATATCACGAGCCATAAGAATTGTTGTAGATTTATCGGCTTCCATTTTATGTATTATTAATGATTAATATAAGTAAGCGATATTTCTTTATGAGCTCTTTATGTTCAGTTTAAATTAAAACTGAATGAGAGAAAAAGGTTTGGTTGCTCTCGAACGTTTCCAAATTCTCCGCGCTGAAAGAGATAAATATCATGAAATTATGCAACACTATGCAAATTAAAAGTCTAATGTAAACCATAATAATATTTTACTTCTTTTTTTGGTTTTTCTTAAATTACGCCTAATTTATTTTCCACTCGCTTGTTCCTTTCCAGAATTTTTCCCTATTTTACATACATCAATTTTAAAATGAACTTGAAGTTACTTTTTATGGATATTTTTTAGTTGTTCTTTGGCACTGTCAATTATTTCAAATATTTATGGACTATTAAAAAATTTTTATAAATTTTTTTTATTGTATGTGTGTCACACTATTTTTTAATATTTTCACGCAGTCTTGATTGTGAACTATTACAATTTATACAATCAATAATAGAAAAGATACCCTCTTTTTAAAAACTTATTGCTAAATTACGTGAATAATAAAAAAATATGTGTATATATAATATATACATGTATGATTATGCGAGTAACCAGGATTTTTAATTACAATAACTTCTGTAGTGCACCAATTGCTCAGACATAATTTAACACAACCCGAATACGCTGTTTGATCTTTGAACATATAACTCTTCCAACTAACTTTGGCAATGTAAATGGATGATTATAAGTCTGTTATGACGTAGAGAAGACATTACTATGTCTAAATTATATAAATTATGTATTTATGAATGTATAATTTATGAGACATTCAATAGATTATTCCTTCACGAGTATAAAGAAACTAAAGAGAGTCAAATAAAAGGATATTTTAGAAATAAGAGCATAAAAAAGCAATTTTGTTGAGTGAAATTTCAATGAAGTTACATAGCGTATATCTATTATTGTTTGTAATTATGTACTTAAGGGAAAGTAGCAATAATTAATGGAATTTTTTATATGTATATGCATATGCCAGCCACCTGACGTGTTTGTTTGGATACTACACTTCGGATCATCGATTACTTCCACATTTGTGTTATTTGATGCTAGCCACAACTTACAAACAGTTTATGGATTTTTTGATGGGCCAATTATGTTCAGTAATAAAATTTCCAAAATATTACGCACTTCGCACTCCATTTAGATACAAGTAAAACAAAATGTGTTAACTTTTTTGTTTGTACCAACTAATTTCACCAGGTAAAAATATCCAAGAGATACAACTGCTCGCAATTTATATAAGTGAAACAACTGATTAATTTACCTTTCAATAAATTTCAATAAAATATTGTAATTTAAATCAACGAGCTTCAAATTGAAGCGTAAAAAGACGGAAATTCCTCCAGCAAAAGAAATAAAGACCTTCGTTAAAGCAAAATTAAGTAAATTTAATAACTTCTGCAGAGTGGCCAAGTCTACGTATAGAAACTTTTTCTGCCATTTTTTCAAATACTACTCTATTCATCACTACTGAGCTTCATATAAATTTATATTGTAGAGAAGTTTTTAATATTAAAATAAGATATAATAAGCAGAAAAGTAACAAACTTTAAATCCAAATGCCTATTACAAAAATATAAGTTGTTTTATTTCAATTCCAATCCAAGCAGTCTCCAACACTATCAGCTGATATAGTTGCGGTAAAGTATATTAAATTATTAAACTGATTACATTGCCAAGTTAAATTATTAAGAAATAAGTAAATATTTTATATACAAAATGAATACTACCGATCTATATATAAAATAAAATAAAAATATATATATATATAATATAAAATATAAAAATAACTTATTACCGTTCCCACGACAGTCGGGTCGAAGAACCCGGAACGGACTCGAATTTTTATTTGGCCAACTCGTAAACTCGGCACCATTGCTCGAAATTACTTCAGGAATGTTTTCTGCCGCTACAATAACAACAACCATTAATAAATAAAGCTTAAGTTAAAAATAAATATTTTTCAATGCAACCATGATGCTTAGTGTAACCGGATTAACTTAATAAAACCCAATGATCTTATTAAATAACTTTTTTAATTGAAGATTATAAATATTAAACCAAGATTAAAGTTATTAAAAAAAATGTTGAGGTAAAAATTATTCGAATGTCAACTCATTTAGTTTAAAATATTTCAAAACAATTATTCACTTCAGATTTCAGGAAAAAGTGGCAAGGTTGGGAGCGGCGATTAAACCAATGACAAATGTTTTCCATTTTCGTGTATAGAAACATCTAAAAATTCCAAAAAAATTTGAAAACATATATTACTTCCGAAGGAAAAATATTAAGCTTAAAGAATCAAGTAGTTTTCGCCAAATTGAACAAAACTGCTTTATTTTTAACTGCGGCACTTGCTTCTCTTCTGTGTATTATTAAATAATTGTTACACCTGCCACGCCGGTCTATAGAGATCTGAAGAAGAAATGGCTAACATGTTGGAAAATCAATTACTGACGGCTGCGCAAATGATTGAAAGGCAGTTGGATCAACAATTGGATCAGCTGGACAATTTGGACTCCGATGACTTAAAATCGATACGAGAGCAACGCCTCAAAGAAATGAAAGATCTTAACCGTAAAAAGCAGGAGTGGCTTAAAAATGTGGGTGCTCTAGCTCTCAATATAATATTTTATTTTTTTTAATATGAAAAAAAATCACTTTTTGGTGACTTCTTGTTATGTTTCCAGGGACACGGGACATATACCGAGTTGGCCGATGAAAAAGAGTTCTTTGAAGTTTCAAAAAAATCTCCTAATATTGTGTGTCATTTCTATCGAGACTCCACAGAACGCTGCCGCATTGTTGATATGCATCTAAAAATACTTGCAAGTAAACATGTTGAGGCGAAATTCTGTAAAGTGAATGCTGAGAAGTCACCTTTCCTAACACAAAGACTACGCATTAAAGTGATCCCAACCATTGCATTAGTTAAGGACAGTAAAACGAAGGACTTTATAGTTGGATTCACCGACCTGGGTAACTGCGATGATTTCTCTACGGAAATGTTGGAATGGCGAATAGCACAGTCGGGTGCCATTGATTATAAGGTAAATCCTATTAACTACCTAATTTTAAATAAAATTATTATATACACATATTACCTTAGGGTGACCTTATGACCCCACCGGACGTGAAAAAGAAAGCGTATATCAACCGTGTTAACAAGACCATTCGGAGCGGCTATGATTCGGATGATTCTGACATAGACTTTGATGATTAACAGCACTTCTATAGAAGTTGGCAGATGCAGTATCCACAGTGTGTCTTTAAAAACGATAGGGTTTAAAAAGCTTGCTTAGCAAATTGTAACTCATTCAAAACTAAATTAATATTAAAGAAAGTAAATCTTAATTGTAGAAAGTAACAAAAAAAAAAAATCAAAAGCTTAAACAATACAACACACATCAAAAAATGCTCGATTACAATTGCGTAATATCAAAATAAGGAAATTCAAGTTAAACCCAATAAAAAGGCACAAACACGCGGTGCATTTTAGTATTGTCCTTAGCAGGAGAAATCGAAAAAGACAACAAATCAGTACATGCGTAATTTTTTTCATTCACAAATCTTTTTTCTAAGCCTATTAGAATATTGACAATATTTATTTTTTATACTATTACATAAAACTAAAAGAAATATGCATGGAAAACTAAATTTATTTTTAAGGATTCATAGATTGTGTTCTTAAGTTTGATTCAAGGAAATAATAAAAATACTCTTAACATGCAATTATTTGAGATTTTTATTAGGGCAAAACAATTTTTGACAATATTATAAATATGTAGATAAATTAAATAAATCCACTTTTTAAATGGATATATATATACATATATGTAGTTGTCAGCTGTACTAGTTTGTAGTGTCTAAGTTAAAGAGAGTCCACTGTAAAATAATATAATTACAAATTCAACACGGTGAAAGCCTTAAAGGGTGTTTAGCTTGATGTTTAAACTGTGTGCTCTCGATTAACTTCCAACGTAGTAGAGAATTTTTGAGATAAATAAACCTTAAAATGCTCCTGTTATATTTTTAGTGGTTAAATTGATTTAAAATATCATTTTATAGTTATTACACCTTCAGGAAAAAATATTTTTTAACATGCGGACAAGTACAATGTTACTCCATGTACTACATTTAGACTATTTGGAAAATATATTCACCACACTTTCCTTGCCACAAATAGCAACCCTGTCTGATGTTTTGCATTTTCGCATTAACTTTTATTTGGTTTCATTGGAAAAGGTTGATTCGTTGTTTCTGGGTGCTTTTGGTTACGTTTGGAAAGATCAGATGGTGTACGGGCGGAAGGGTATAGAATTGGTTTAAATTAAATTGATTTATAAACAGTTCAGTGTTACTGAATTAGTTATTGTTGTGAAAACTACTTTGCTTAAGTTCAATAAAAAGTAAAGCAGTATAAAATATTTAATAAAACACAGTGGAATTTTGTGAAAAAATCAATACAATATTTATACGAAAAAATATCCTGTTGCAATAATATAAAATAAAAGTGAACTCAGTGCCTAGATGCATTACAGTTTTAGTTTATAATACAAAAAACATTAGCAACGTTGTAAAAATATAACAAAAGGGAAAACAATCCAAATCGCTTTATTTGCAATGACGCAAACTACGCCAGCTGGCTCGGGGGTTTCGAATGTCAGCAACTTGATGACGACAAGTAGTACACCGATACGTATTGGGAGTGGATTGAGCGGCTATCATGGTAACAGTTCAGCTTCTGTTGCTACTCATCATGCACTGACCGGAAATGATTCATCTTCACCGGGTGGTGGCGGTAGTGCTGGCACTGGTGCATCTGCTGTGCCTCAATCTAGTAGCGTACCATCTGGAGCAACCGATACTCTACGTCAGCAGCTGCAAAGCCAAATTTCCTTGTCTATGGGTGCCTCCAATCAGTCATTAGGTGTTAGCGCTGGTGCTGTAGGAGTTTCTAGTATAACACCGCCCAACAGTGCCGGTCTTCGACAAACTGGAGGTAAGTTTCTATAACTTATTGTCGTTAATTGTGTGTGTAATTGATTTTAACGGGCTTATTTCTCGCTTTTGTTGCATTTTGTATGCGTTCGTTAAATTTACGTATATATACATCCTCAACTAATATATATGCCACAGTAATTTAAATAAAACATTGAGCACAATAATACACAAAAGTAAAAGTGCTAAGCAAACACAGCAACATACTGTATATAGGAAACATAGGAATTATTAGTATGTGGTTCTACTTTTGAACATCTAACGAATAAACCTGATAAGTCATAACACTTACTGTTGTTGTTGTTTCCGGTCAATTAACTTATACACAACAAGTCAAAGCGTATCTTATCGAAGACTGTTGTTATTTTCGTGAAATGTAAAATACTTTTTTTCTGCGATCATCTAATATAGGCCGTACGTTGGAATTTTAATTATCTTATGACTTTGAATCCAACTTTTCCAACTAAATAAAAATTTCTATGAAATCTTCTAGTTTTGTAATAAATTATAATATTGTAATAATTTGGAAATAATCAAACACTAATGTACTATATAAGTAAATTGAGTACAATTGATCTTTATTACTTGTGTTCAAGGTTTTGAACATAACAATTGAGCTGTTTCTATATTCTAATCTAACTGCTCGTATAAGACATAATAATTTATTAAAGAACCTTTATAATTTTTATGTCACGGTATACCAAGTTTGCCACGATGTTTCTTAGACCCAATAGGAAATGTCGGAGATCCTAAAAAGTACATACGAATGATCAGCGTGACGAGCTGAGTTCATTTAGCCATGTCCGTCTGTCCGTGTTGTTGTAGCGGCAGAATTTTGTCGAGTTGACAGTCCTTGGCCGGAAAAAATCCGGGTCCGTTCCGGTTACGTAGACCCGACTGTTATGGAAACGGTCCGTCTGTCCGTCTCTATATACGCTTACTAGCCCCTAATTTTTTCAGATATAGAACTTACGTTTTGCATACGTTCTTTTCTCACCAAGAAGCATAGATTATTATCCAAGTCAATTTCGCTACAATCTCCGAACATATTGTTCAGATAAGACTACTAAAGCTTATGGCTGCCATTCAAACTGACCTATCAAAATCAGAATAAAGATATTTGTATTCCCTTTTTATGCTATAAATGAATGATATTATAGCTTCGGTGCAGCCGAAGTTAACGTTTTTTCTTGTTTGACTTTTTGTGTGTGCCGTTTATCGCGATTAATTCCTCGTCACTCTATGATTTCCAATTTCTCTTTGTTTCGATAATAAAAGAATTTCAGAATTCATAAAACCATTGTTTACTTCGATTACTTTAAAACTAATTTCACCTATATTTATATACATTTATATACACATATATTCAATCAAATTAAGATGTATTCTTATCCAGAAACGTAATAATAATTGTATTACTTAGAGTTTTTAAATTTATAATAAAGCGAAATAATTCCTTAGCAATTAACACAACACATTCGATATATGTATTAGAAAACATACCATATGTCCATATGTATGTACATATAAATGGTAAATATACGTTTGTGCAAACATATTATGTAAAATTAGAGAATATAGGTACACCATACTATTGGCTTCCCAATTGGCACTTTTCCCACGGCTCTCGTCTAGGTCATGGTCACTGCCAATAGAAAACTAAAATATTATACATTATATTCCAGCAGTTTTAAATTTTAAAACGCATTGGTTGTTAGAACATGTGCGTAATTTCCCCCGTGGCATTGTGTACGAACAACGGTGATACAAATGGGTAAAATATTAAAATTGATTGAATCGTAATAACAATAAATGTAGATACATTGTACGTATGTATAGCTCTGAAAAAATTATATTATAAAATGTACTAATTAATAATAGCGATGTGTAGTTAATATCTTTACTTGCGCTTAATTATTTTTGATGTAGCCTTCTATGTATATACTTATATTGGGTTTTCCAATAGGGATGATATGATTTCTAAGTGTCATTTCAGTCATTTTTAATATGTCTCAATCTGTAATTTTTTTTCATTGTATTCAGTAATGTTTACAATTTCATCATGGCAAGATGTATGCAAGCATGACGTTATTTCGTGCGCGAGAACAAAATCCACAAATTATTCATGAACAATCATTACATTCGCCTAAAGTGACAGTTTGATGTGGTTTTTATTCTGGTGGTTTGGAGATTCGATAATTTCAGGAAATTATGACATTGAATGACCTCGAAGAAGTTGTGATATAGCACCATTAGACTACTTCTTGTGGGGTTAGTTGAAGTTATTGGTCTTTAGCAATAAACCAGACTCTCTTCAAATCTTTGAAGTCAATATTGAACATTCATGACATACGACTTGATTTAGTGGGAAAAGTACTTGAAAATTGGGTTCATCGAATTCGTTAATGCAAAAGAAGTCGTGGAGGCCATTTGAATGATGATATTCATAACTTAATCATATCGATTGCATTTCACATTGAATAAAAAACATTAGAATTTTCTTAAAAATTAGTAGTTCGTTGAAAAGAAATCATATCACTCTTACTGGAAAAACCTGTATTTTGCGTTTCACGAATATCTGTTACCTTCACTTGTCTTAAAAGGTCTGCAATGTAAAAGAGAGTGACTCAAATTTATCAGAAATAAGGAAAGGAAATCGTAAAAGTCTATACATATGTATGTACATCCCGATTCCCGAAATAATGTTGCAGTAACTCTTGCGTCTGCAGTGTTCTTGAAACAAAATATAATTAATTAAAATATCGCAGGTATTGATGTCATACAATCACTGATTGCTGTTGCTCTTTGCATTTTTTACCTTTTTCACGGAAAACTGTGCACGCAAAATTAGCTCCCAGTCACCTTGACCTTATGTTCGCCATTGCTTAACGTCCTACCTTTTATTGCGAATTTCAGCCACCATTTTCTCCGCCACACTTAGGCGTTGTTTAATTTCGCTCAACAAATATCGATTTGTTTTGCTCTTTTACTATTATTTTCGCGCACTAAACATTTTGAATTCAGGGTAATTGCCATGAAATAAAAAGTGATAGTTGTAAATATAAAAATAAAACAGGCAAAAGTCTCAAATAGGATTAGTTATATAGCCAATTTTACGGCATCTCTCCAGGTAATGTAGAATATAGAGTAAAGAAATTTCGATTCACTACGCCGTTATTTTCTTGAATCTCAGGATAAAATATAAAATGACAACGAAAATTCATACATACATATGTGAAATAGCGACTGTATGTATGTATATGTATTCATACATACATGCATATACGAGGGTATGTACCATATATTCAATGCGAATGGGACGCATTCACGCGATGTAAAATTTGTATTAGAATAAAAATTGACATTGCAGTGACATCATCTCATGCATATGTACACACAAGCATATATATGTACATATGTATGTATATCTATAAAATATATTTTATTGTTGGAGATCAAATACGCTTTATTGCCTGTGATGGCGCTTGTATGCACATTTATCTAGATACATACATACATATATAGATATGTGCTTCGTTCTATAGAAAATTTGCCATATAAATTTTAATTGCATAGCTATGACGTTCAGCCAATTTAGAAATTTACTTACAGTTAAATTTCATTTTATTGCACAGCGATTGGCATTCATATCATATCATTTCATAGAATCCACTTAATTAATTGTTGCTTTTGTAAGTATTCATTATAGAGTCACGGACTACAAAAAAGTAAAAATATATATTTATGTATGTAAAACTGTTTATTACTTAACAACAACAACTCGTTTTTTTTTAATAATCGTTAACCTAATATAAAACTACATGAACACAACAAAGAAAAGCATTTTTTCCTATAAAAACGCACGTTGACAATAACAGTCACAGAAACAAATAAATAAATTTATATAAAATTTTGTATATTAAGTTTTTCAGAACAAAAAATTCATTATTGAGAACTATAAGATATAATATAAAATACCCTTCACAAATAAAAAGGTTCCATACAAGAACTTTATTTCAATCGGTCAGTTTGTATGGCAGCTATATGTTATATTGGTCCGATCTAAACCATTTGTTCAGGGATTTTATGACAGCTATGTATATATATGCTATAGTGGTCCATATTTCGTCGGTTGCGACAAATGAGCTGCTTCTTGGTGAGAAAAGGACGTGTATAAAATTTCAGAGCGATATCTCAAAAACTGAGGCACTAGTTCGCATGTATACCGATGTTTGTGGTTAAATCGACTCAGCTAGTCGCTGTAATCTACTATATATATGATATAACTTAGCATACGCTAATGTTTCCTTTTGCCTCTACTAAAATCTCAATGCGGTTTCTACAGATGAGTTTCATGTGAGTGGAGCAACATTTGGTAGATATGAAGCCATGTGAAGAGGTGAATAATAAGTTACGTTTCGCTAAGTTCAGTTAAGAATAAAAAGAGAACGAAAATGAAGCAGTTTAACCTCGTAAAAATCCTTAAAAAGAAATTGTAAATTTGGAGAATATTTTCATTATTCTCACCCTAATACTGTTAATATTTATTCCCACTCCTTCACTTAAAATGTGGTGTAAACGGGTTTGCATAGAGAATAATAAATGTTTAAACTCGTAAATAATTCATAGTATAGAACTGTCAATGACTATGACTAGAATGGCGTGCTCTTTCATTTACACCTTTTAATGCACACACACATATATGTACACAATGAGAGAATTTCAAACGGTTTCGCACGCAATGTTTTGGCTATTCAACCAGCGCTAAGTCCCTTGAAAATGGCTTGCACACATGTCATTTGCTCCACATAGTGGACGGTGGCTCCACTATTGAACACCGAACCGTTTGCAAATACGTAAACACACATGCATATGTACATATAAACATTTTGTACAAGTGTGTCTGGAACTGTCGGTCGCACACTTTTAACCTCAATAATGTTGGCTATGCCTCTGGTGTAAAATCAATGAAATATGGAAATATTCAAAGGAAAAAAGAGAGAAAACAAGACTTTGCATTGTTTGCTAGTTGTTTTTCAGCTGAGCTCATTCGCAAGCTCGCCTTCACCCTGACTGCTTTTCTATTAAAATGCATATTTTAATATACACATACTTGTATGAATATAAATGCCGACGTTTCCACTCAAACTAAAATCGAACTCATAACGGTGCCGATAAAATTCATATGTAGGCGAAAAGTTTGTAAAGCGAAACGGAAAGTTTATTGTTCTTAAACTTCTTTTCCGATTATTATTATCGCCTTTCTATAATCATTTAATACGCTTTTATACCTTTTTCGCATATACATACATACAAGTATGTATTGTATGTGTGTATGCTTTTTTATTTAAGCCGGTGATTATTTCTAACTTTCTTTGAATGTGTGCGTTAATAAGCTTAAAGCATTTAATCGCATCGTCTGTTGCTTGCTGCTGCATTCGTACTGACCTAACCCACTCAAGCAGTTGCTAATTATTTTTATTGGCTGCCGATTGCACTCGATTGGGTTTTTGTGTCGCCGCAAGCTCAATGAAAACGATATACACGCGGGATGTAAATAAAACCTGCTTTTATTCTCATATAAAACAAAGAAACTATTCAACTTAATTTCAGTTTTAAAAGTTAACACGGTAAAAGTAATTACTATAAGCTCACCATGTGAGGTGTAATTTAAAAAAAATTACATTACCCAGGCGGGCCAATTGATTGACAACAGTTTCAGTTCTTTATATGATTCCGTCACGTAATCGTTGCAGTAACAGAAAGCATTTCCCAAATAAAAGAGGGCTGCGCGTTTGACACCTATCCTTCTAGAAATTATATACCTTTAAAAAAAGCCACCATATAGCATATATACAAAATGTAGAATAAAAGAGCGTATTTGACGTCTATTGGAAAAAAACTGAAAATCCGATTTTCATAAGCTTCGCTTAGGTGAATTTTTCATCAGCAAAAACGTTCGCCATAGGCACGAACAGGTAGGCACCAAGTGTTTAGTGCCAGGAACACAAACTAAAAGGTGGATGCATAAGGACGTGCCAATCAAGTTCCCAGAGTTTTTGGCGAGCCCCTATCAATGAATGTGGACTGATGTTATCCAGATCGAACACAATTCCTTTTTTACTGGCCAAAGCTGGCTGCTTCTGGCCGATTGCTTGCTTCAGACGGTCCAATAGTTGATAGCACAGGTCCGAACTAAGAGTTTGTAGCTAAAGACGTACAGGGCGTAGCTATTACTATTGTATGTAAATGATTCGCAGCCAATCCCATCCAACACATAGTAAAATCTTCATGGCCGCTGTTGCCTCAGATGGAAATTCGGTTCATGAGTGTTTTTTTTTTTGCGCTAACTCGAGTAGCACCTATACAATGAGGCTGGAGCTCACATGGCGGTCGGACTCGACAATGATAGAAAGATGGATATCAATATTTTCGACAATTGGCCGTTCAGAGTGCTGCATCTTTGCCATCAAAATTAGCGGAACAGAATCTTATCTTTCTAACGCCATAAAACATTTAGTTATACAACCCAATATACAGATTACTAAAGCATCTATTATAAAAATAGTAGATTTCTTTTAGAACCTTACTCTCACTATTGCTAAATTTATTCTATTACTTAGATTAATTAACTGTAATCCTTTCTTAGTTAAGCAAAATTAACTTCATAAAAATTTCAAAATCAAAATCAAATTATGTAATTTACGCAGAAGTTTAATGCAAGCTAAAATATGTGTCAAGGTTTTGGCTTTATGAAGCAATGCCTTTATAAGAAAGTACTTGGAAAATTTTTAATCAGCGATTTATAAAAACAAGCATACTTTTATTTAATTAAATTAATCAATAGCAATCACAATATAATTATCATAATTTTCTATTTCAAATGAATGAAATCAATGATCACTCAAGTAGCATTTTACTTCAATTTCGCCTTAAAATTGACAATTGAATCGACGCACGGCTCAATTATAATTCATTTCGAATAATAAATTATCGTCACTCGGCACACAACTCACGTTCAGTTTATTCGCCCTTCTGCCTCTAATATAATATTTGCCTGCTTTAAAGCAGATAACAATAGAAATGCTTTCAGTAAATAATGACTGTTGTCTAATGTGCATTCCATTTATCCTATTTACTTAGTAATTCTTTAGTCAACTTTGTAGTGTTTACTTTACATTCTACAGATGTGTTAATGGGGGCTTCTTGAAGTCTTAAGTAATACTGAATTTGTAAATTCCTGTTGAATATTCAAACAATGCTGTTGATGTTGCTGGAGGTTAAAACATTCTTCAAGTAGCTTTCGAGATTGTTGCTGGGCTGACATTTTTCAATCCAATCTAAATCCGGGTACGTTTCGGATAAGTTCGGGTATTTTGTCTCTGTTAGTTAGGGTTTACTAAGCGATCAAAGTTTGGAACCGGTCTCTTTTCAACAAGGGCGAATAAGTTATAGCCAGCATAAAAACCAAAACTTTAAAAGTGTATTTCTTGAAAAGCTGTTTTCAAAGATTTCTTGCACGACCATTTCAGATATATTTGTCGGGTAATGATTAACTGAACAAGATTGTAGATAATAATTTCGCTACTCTAAAGTGTAAATTTTTTCAAAAAACAAAAGAAAAACTTTTTATTGGGAAGCCGTCAGTTTGTTAAAAATCAAAATTTTACCTAGTCCTTATTACTAACTGTTTTCATCTATAATAATAAGTTTTTTCGGCTTTTGGATTTTAGATAATTGTAAGTAGAAAAATCTTCCACACCTCCAGGCACCTTTACTCGGAGGTCCTCCTGCAGATCGGCTACCGAATCAAGAGAATCGAAAATCTTTCAAAATGAATCGTCGATTATTAAAATAAATACGTTTTTCTAAGTTGCAGGAGAATATAACCCGTTAAACGTATTGAAAAAAATATAATTCTTCTAATCAACCTAACACTGCTTTGGATATAGATTAAATCAGTAATTCTATTAAATCATAAAGTTCTCTAAAATTGGTCAAATTAAAATGTATTTATATGAAAAGTGCATAAGTTTCACTCAAAAAAACTTTAGCGCCAAACAAGTTTAAAACGAGTTCATGTCTATTTCGATTACTGATGCATTACGTGATATCTAACAATCGGACTAAGTTTTCTCCAACAAATATCTTAATTCAACCGCGACTATAATTTCTTAATTTCAGAGCGAGCAGCTGGTTCTAGATAAGTTTTCGTAATTGACTGCTGCTGTTTACTAACGCCCACTTTGTGCTTTTGGCGCCACAATGCTGCTGCACCAGTTTTCACTATATTATCACCAGCTTGCTTGGTTCATAATTTCCAATTGTCGACATGTCTGCGTGAGCGTGTGCACTGAAGTGGTGCGCGAAGGCAGCGGGTAGCTTTTAATTAGGCTATGAATTGTGTACAACAGCTGGAAAATTACACCCCTAGTCAGGGGGGCCCCACGCTGAGGCGTCGTAAAATTCGCAACACTCCTCCGACATTGTTGCTGTTTTCCGCGATATGACGTACTTTCCAACTAACATACATTTGTATGTGTGGTTGAGTGTGTGCGCAGTTGCCATATGCACCAAACTGCTGGCGCTGAAAGAGTTGCTTATTTCTTTAGTGGCATATCACTCGGGTTACGGGGTTTTATTGCACTTTGGAACATTGCATTGTTGTACATTTTTGTGTTTTGCTTTTATTTTTAACTTTTTGTTATTCCTTTTTATATTTTTTAGGTTTTTAGACTGTCGTATGGTTTAAGTGCTAGTGATTATGACTTTATTGTAAGCTCTTCGTGTTTAAGTTGCTTTTTCGTGTTGCAAGCGAAGTGCTTGTTCTACAAGTAGTAATAAGGCATAATCATGGAGTGCTTGCTCGATAATTAGCATATTTATGTATGTAATGTATATGGAACAATGTGGTTGTACTTAAAGTATAAGTCGTACATGGGCCGTCTACACATATTATGAGCACGGAACTTTATTTTCGATGATTGAAATTTAATTTATTTTTGTCAGCTTTGAATAGCCAATAAAAATTTTAAAAATGTAGCTTCGAGAAAAATGTGCTAAAGATAAACTGATTAGGCTGATGGAGCTGATTGAACTGAGCAACTCTACTTAGAAGACTGTAACTCAAAAACTAGTTGAGATATCGATTCGTATGTTGTTTTTAAATGTATAACCTATCGAAATATGAAAAAAATATATTTTTTGTTAAAGTTTCACACTTGGTATGTTCCTTCTACAATCTTTTTCTTCGAAGTATTCAAAGAAGTTCGACCGACAATGGATTACAGGAAATCTCTTCGGCAGAAGTAGTGTAAAACGAGACTATGGTTAAAAGGTCCAGGTTTTCCTTTGTATAGCGTTGAAATATAGAAAGTTAGGATATAGAGGGGGCTTGTAATATTCTTTAACATACGTAAAGTACTTGATGCATTGATCCCTGAAATTGCTAGCGGTAGGAGTCTAAATTACGCAATCCGTTGATTTTCCTGTTTACACCCATTTGGAACCAACTGTCTCTATTGAAATTACAAATCAAAAGAGCGTTCACTCATTTTTATACCCTCGCAACCTGTTACTACAGAGTATAATAGTTTTGTTCACCTAACGGTTATTTGTATCACCTAAAACTAATCGAGTTAGATATAGAGTTATGTATATATAAATGATGAGAATGAAGATACGAGTTGAAATCCGGGTGACTGTCTGTCTGTCCGTCCGTCCGTGCAAGCTCTAACTTGAGTAAAAATTGAGATATCTTTATGAAACTTGGTAGACATGTTTCTTGGTACCTTAAGACGGTTAGTATTGCAGATGGGCATAATCGAACCACTGCCACGCCTACAAAACGCCATTAATCAAAAACAAATAAATTGCCATAACTAAGCTCCACAATATGATACAATACTGTTATTTGGTACACAAGATTACATTAGAGAAGGGCATATGCAGTTTAAAAATTTTTTAAAAGTGGGCGTGGTCTCACCCCCTAATAAGTTTAATGTGCATATCTCCTAAATCGCTAAAGCTATAATAACAAAATTCACTGAGAACAAATGTTTTTAGCATTGTTTCATAGATGAAATCGGGTGACAATCCTGCCCACTCCGCATATAACGGTACTGTTAAAAACTACTAAAAGCTCGATAAATCAAGCACTAAACACGCCAGAGACATAAAATTTTATCTCTGGGATGGTATGAGATGACTCTATAGGAACCGCGTTCAAAATTAGTCAGTGGGCGTGGCACCGCCCACTTTTAGGTGAAAACCCATATCTTGGGATCTGCTTAACCGATTTCAACCAAATTCGGTACATAACATTCTTCTCATATTTCTGTGTTATAGTGCGAAATCGAATTAAAACCACGCCTATTTCCTATATAACACCATTTTAAATTGCATCTGATTCTTTCACTTTCCCTATGCAAATCAAGCAACAATGATTGCATCGAGGTAAAACTTTGCGTGAATAATGCGTAAAAGGTGGCATACTTTTGACCAAAAATTGCCCAAATCGATCTTAAACTGTTTAAGCCAATAAGTACTGAATATGTGGACCCCAGTGCCTATAGTTGACTTTTTACCGAAAATATCGCTCAATGTGTGAAATATATAATTTAAGTTTAAGTTCATATAATAAAATAAATAAATGAAACTCTCGATAATAATATGTTTTCGTGTCAAAAATGGATTGAATCCGATCAATACTTCCTTTAATATAAAATGTTGCCAACACCTGAAGTAATTTGCCGGCCTTTGATACTTGCAAGTTGCGAGAGTATAAAATATTCGGTTACATCCGAACTTAGATCTTCATTACTTTTATTTTATTAAAAAAAAAGGAAACATTCAATAATACAAACTCAAAAATTTTTTATATCATATACAAATACTCGCAGCACAGCAACTATTCAAATAGTATTATTCGGTTATTATTCATATAAACCGGATATTCGTATAATCGGTTTTCAGGTTATTCCAATAATTTTAAAAGCACTAGTTCAAATATTTCGGCCTGAAAAAACTCTGGTCGATTTTAGGTAATTAGAAATCCGTTTACTAATTCGAGTAAAACCACAACAACAACGTACGAAAAGCTGTATAGATAAATCTCTTTTTAAACAAAATCTGATTTGAGACTGGGCATACATACATTACTAGCAAGGGAAGTAAAATAAGTTTTTTTTCAAACAATAAAATATTCTTGTAGCAAGCATCAAATACTGAATTATTACTAAATATCCAACATACAACAATATTACTCAATTAAGTACAATCAATCTGCTCTTTTTCATACTTTTATCTTCATTTATTACATTTTTCTAGTGTCTGTGCTTGTTTTCAATGTAAATTTTGCCTTTTTCCATATGCAAGTTTTCTTTAATATGTTTTCTCCAAATATTTGTTAATTAAAAATTTTTTTATTTATTAATTATTTAAGTGTATTTGTGCGTATAAGTTTTCGTGCTAATCTCAGTGGCGTTTATTGTATTGAATGTTATTCTCCATCTTGTTGTTGTAGTGTAACTAATTAAATTTCTAAAAATATTTATGTAACGCTTTCGCAGCTTTTGATTTCAAGTTTATGCGGCGCGCATCTTCGAAAGTTCTATTGCCAAAACTTCCGTCCACAGATAGCTTGAGCAACAGTCCGGGTCCATCATCGCCAGGTGAATGTTTTCCAAATTTTGTCTACAAACTCAATTCCTTTTACAATTTCTATGTACTTATGTACCATGTTTAGCTAATGCATATAACACAAACTTTAGTTTATATAATATATAATTGGCTATAACAAACGATACAAATGAACACACAACACGTGAGAAAAGCAAACATCTATACTGTGATGTGTTGTACGAGTATGTCTATGAGCAGAGCACGAAAAGACCAGTGGTCCTATACATACTTTACAAATGATCTCAAAGAATATATTTTGGTGTTTGCTGCACAAAATACTTAAATTGTATATTATTTGTACATCATAGCAATTATGTTTTGCAATTTGGTATTTTTTGTTGTTGCCTAACTTATATTAATATATAGATATATGATCTATAGCACATATTGTACAAGTAATTAATTTCTGCACCCCTAGATAGTTGCTGCTTAAGTAAAAGTTTTATAGTACGCTTGCGCACATTTATTAATGCATAAAGTTAGTAAAATATTATTATATAATAGCAGTTTGACCGTGGTTATTTGAAGGCACTACCGGAAGCACTTTTTACTCGTATATCGGTGTGTAAACACAGAATAATTTGAAAAAAAAAAAATTATATGTGCGAATTGTTTATTTAACTTAGCCTTATATTTGGCTTTCCAATAGGGATGATTTGATTTCTAAGTATCGTTTCGGCCATTTTTAATGTGACATATTCTGTAATTTTTTTACATTGTATTCCGTAATGTTTACAATTTTATCATGAAAAGATATACACATTAAAATTTATTACGAAAATAATCGTTCTCCAATTGCAACTTTTTGTGTGCTTTTGCCATTTTATGGTCGTAAGAAAATGTATGCGAAGAAAATCCACAAATTATTCATGAACAACCATTATCACCTAAATTGACTGATCTTGTTTTTGGAATCAACGGTCCGTACTTCTTTCGAAATGAAGTTGATGACACCGTTACTGTCAATAGAGAGCTGTATAGATCGATGATAATCAACTTTTAATGGCCGCAATTGGAAGAAGTTGAACTTGACCGCACGTGCAACAACCGTATTATTGCGAGAAAAGTTTGGAGATTCGATAATTTCAAGAAATTATGACATTGAATGACTTCGAAGAAGTTGTGATATAACATCATTAGGCATAATGGCAAAAGTACTCGAAAATTGGGTTCATCGAATTCGTTACTGCAAAATAAGTTGTAGAAGCAATTTGAATGATGTTATATTCAAAACTTTATTGTATCGATTGTATTTTACATAAAATTAAAAAATTATATAGTAAATTAATTAGTAAATTTTTTTTTTTTTTTAAATCATATCACTCTTATTTGAAAACCTGTACAATAATAATACATTGTATTTTGACAGAAAATCTTCCTAAAACAAAGGGTCGTCTTAATTGGACACTTTAAATTTCAGAAAACCACAAAAAAAAAAGTAAAGAGAGTGAAGTCTGAAGAACTGTGTCAAAGTACCTATTTGTAACAGACGGCTTAAGAGTCACTTTTTGTTCATGCAATAGCGTTTTATAAAAGTCGCAACTAGAGAATCTCTGTTCCGCAGGTGCGGTAATATATTAGCGTTGTCGAAAACTGAAACCGTTGAGTACCAATCGAAACTTCTTCCTATTTGAAATACTATTATCAATTTAAACGATATAACGTTAAATGGTTAGCATTGTTATTATAGTATAGATTGCATATAGTGGAAAAACAAATCCTCAGTGCATACTTTTAGGATACTGTGATATTTGAGGATACACCTTCAGATACAATTAATGTTTCTTCATGTGCTCCGCAAGGTAGTCATCTGGGCCCGATTCTGTTCTTGTTGTTTATTAACGATATCTCTTCAGTAATAGAATTCTCAAAAATTTTATTATAAGCTGACGACGTAAAGCTTTTTAAATCATACACTTCAACTGAGGAAAGGTGTCTGTTGCAAACAGACTTAAACTATTTGATTGCATGGTGTGATAGAAATGATTTGCCATTGAATCTCAATAAATGTAAGATGATGTGCTTTTCCCGTAGATCTGTGCACCACTCTTCTTATGTAATAAAACACCATAATCTAGAGCAAGTTTTTAACTATGTTGATTTGGGAGTTAATATGGACCCTAAGCTTAATTTCAGTCTTCATATTGATACCATGGTCTTGAAAGCAAAAGCTGTCCTCAGTTTTGTTAAACGTTGGTCTAAAGAAGTTAGAGATCCGTAGATTAATAAAACACTTTATACAACTTTAGTTAGACCTATATTGGTATATGGCTCTGTTGTATGGAACCCTAGCTACCAAATCCATTCTGACAAGTAAGAGTCGGTTCAAAAACAATTTTTACTTTTCGCCTTAGCGCATTTCCGATGGGATGCTAGGGTAAGTCTACCTCCATACACAAGTCGTTTAAAACTTATTAATCTACCTACACTTTCTAGTCGTAGGGAAATGCTTGGCATAATATTCTTAGTGAAACTTTTGAATGGAACTGTTTGCAGTTCTTTTCTCCTGTCTGAAATTAAATTTAATATCCCGTTTAGACCTTTACTGCTAAAATCCTGTAGATCAAATTTTGAACTAAACGAGCCATTCCGCCGTATATGTCATGATTTTAATTCTCATTCCAGCACATTTGACTTATCTGACTCACTATTCAAAATTAAAAAGACTTTATTGTTTTCTCTTAATAAATGAAAATGTAACAATTTATTATATTGTAACTTTAGATCTTGGCTGTTGAAATTTTTGTTTCTGTAGCTGAGCACTTTTAGATCTCAACACTTAAAAAACTCTCTTGCCTTTTCTGACTCGGCTAATTCCGCACGTATGCGGATTGCTCCTTTCGCGTCGGTTGGGCGGGAGGAGCGTAATCGTTGGGTTATTATTATTATTATAAACATAGTTGTATTAGATACTGCCCAAATCCAAATAATGTTTTAAATATCCCTTACCAATAATATTTATATAAAAACTAGAATTACATTGTATCAAACAGAAAAGAATTAAATAAAAACAGTCTACTCAATATCGTATAAAAATATTCTTTACACATACTTATATTTTCTTTTTGAACATAATTTCCATTTGAAAGAAAATTACGTTACACTCGACCACTGTATGTACCCACGTGTATATGTACTTGTAGTATGCGTCATACTACTCTACTATGAATGTATTATTGCTTGGCTGCTTGGCATCGTCACTTAACTTTATTCTAATCTTACTTCCTCCCCACCCTCTGGTACAAATATTTGTTCAACTGATGTCATTTGGTTGACGGTAATTTAATTACTGAGGAAAACATATACGGGCATTCTTAAAACATATCCCAGCAATAAATTATTAGAGTAATATTTAATGAGAGTACACCCGGAGTACTATTTATAGAGTACAATTGGGAATGAATTAGTTCTCAACCAAACTTTTAGGATACATTTGTGTATCAATTCGTGTCACACTAATATATTTTGATTCATTAGAAGATGGACTAGTTGTAAAATTATAGAAGTGAAAAAAAAATGAAAATAATTAGTGTTAGATGGTAAATGCTTGAAAACGATTAGCCCTTCGGGTATAAAAGTGTACAATTAGTCTCTTCATAGACTCTAGTGGAATAAAAAGAATAAGTTCGTTCCATACAAAACGATTAAAAGTGGTTTTAATCATATGTTGATATGCGACTAATCACGGTCTCATTCCGGAATTTTTGCGTTTTTGGTAGGGTATGATACTTGTATATGTACCAGTACATATATATATCGCGGGTTGTTGTCTGAGCTAACTTTTAATATATAATACGTACATATTTGTGCACTGTATATTTTATTTAACGGCAAAATATTGTTATATTTTTTTTTGAGCGATTATCAAAGCTATTTCAAATTGGTTTATAGCCGTAAATAAAATATTTAAAATATATTGTAGCAGATATACAATATAAAAGCAGATTTTAATATTGTTTATGCCAAAGTATCTCAGCCAAATGGTTCAAATAAATTTTGTATTTAAGGTCTCCTTCGGACCACATAACCTCTTAATTACTCTTTTTAGTACTGTTCGGATAGTTGATCCCTAAAACACTATTGGGAAAAAAACAACTTATCAATATCAACATATATTTATACATATTTATGAACTTACGGCAGAATTCAAAGGTACTAGAAATATGATAACTGCGAGTACATTGGAGTTTATAACTGTTACTACGCACCGTTATTAGTAGGTATTTACTAATTAAATACTATATTATTTTCTTATTCTTATCAGATGATAAAATTAGACCAAGTTTGCCTAGAAAATGCGTGAGGCATTTACACAGATAGTTACTATGTATATATCTACTATATATTTGTATATAATGTGCTAAATAATAAGTATTTTTATTAGCACAAAGTCTTTGTATGCAAGGTGTTAATTACTTGCTCGTAAATTTAATGCGAAAAACTTTCTGGTACGAGAGTACAAACGTGAGAGCCGAGTAATAAATCCTACATTGTTTACATATGTTCATAGTTCAAAAGCTTTAAATATGCTAATTAAAATTTTGAAAAAATTAACAGCTTCATTAAAAATGCTTCAATTAAAATGTGCTCTTTTTCTTACACATACCGCTTGTAAAGTAATTGCTACGGAACTAGTTTATATTATATGACTTATCCTAGTTCAAGTTGACAAATCAATTATCTTGTACAATCACTATGACTGACTGCTCTTTTTAATGTGGAAAACCTATTACTAAATTCAATTTAGAATGTCGCTTGTACATCCGAGATGATACAAGAGGACTTTATAGGAGCCGGGGTAAAAATTACACGCTGGGCATGGCACCTCCTACATTTAGGTGGAAACCCATATATTGGGACCCGCTCAACCAATTTTAGATACATACTTGATATATTAGAAGAGAGAATCTCTATTTGATATCAATATGACCGTATGCCAAATATGGGTTGAATCAGATCTGATTTTTTCCCTTAGTTCCCATATACCTAA